AATTTTCTGACTATTGTTTATTTTTGAAATTTTGCAAGCCCTTAAATTAAAATCCCGAGATAATTGTAAAGTTAAGAGGTTAAAAAGCCTTGCCAAGTGACAACATAATCATAATCATCAAAATTTATCTGTGTGTCTGAGGCCATTTGTAGCCTTTTCCTCATTCATTTTGAAGTTTTAACTTTGAGATGGTACTTTCATGCAAATGGAATGCAAATTGGATTAAAAAGAAAAATTCAATATTTTGTATTCTAGATAAAGATTAATTTTGTTTTCAATTACGATTGCTCAGAGCTGTAAGCAGTTGGAAAACTTCACTCATATTATCTTCAAGATGATTAATTCGTCAAAAAAAATCTGATGCTAAACATATGCAAATTTTTTTTATCTAACGTTCTTTTGGAACGGATTAATTTTTGCATGAATTTTCGAATGACTAGTTAAAATTCCCCTTTGAATCCAAAGTCTAAATTTAAACACTAACGGTTCTATAGTTATAAGTGAGAAACACAGATAGAAAAATGCACAAACTGTTCCTTTTAGTTTTATAGATTTTCAAATATAAATAATTAATATTAATTTAATTGCTTTTTAATCATAATAATCATAAAAAGTTTTTCTTGATCATGAATGAGTTTTATTTTTTTTTTCATTTATAATTTACAGAAGAGAAAATAAACATACAAGAAATATATAGGTTACCTGGAATCGAGTCCTCAATGGTAACCGTTAATGTTAATAATAAATTCACTCCAAGACGTAAAAAAAAATTATAAAACTGAATATATGAAAAATAACAATGCGTAAAACATACTATAGGCAAAGAGGGTGTCGTTTAAAATAAGTGAAAATTTATATTTAATATCTATTTGGCATTAGAGAAGTCGAGAGGAGTATGCATGGTGAAAAATAAATTTAAAACAGGTTCTCAATATCGTTTACAGAATATAAAAAGTCTTTTAATTTCAGTTTGAATGAGCTTTTATTTGGAGAATCTTGCAAATCAGTGGGAACACTATTGAAGAATTATGGAGCTATTTAACTGAAGTTCTTAGAAAAAACATTTTTGGAAGGTATCGGTATTTGGTATATTTCTTTAGTGTGGCTACGTGGCTTTACGTGGGCTAATATTTTGCATTTTTTACACTCATTTGGATTCATAGAAAAATCTAAACAGAATTTATAGGAACAAAAGATGAAGAATCAAAATATATGGTTTCTAAGGTCACATGCGTGAATTAAATTTTTTTCTCTTCTTTTCACGAAGAACAGTCACTTTTTCACCTATTGTTAGTTGTCTATTGTTTACAGAATATAAAAATTCTTTTAATTTTAGTTTGAATGAGCTTCTATTTAGAGCGTTTTGCAAATCAGTGGGAGCACTATTGAAGAATTATGGAGCTAAATAAATGAAGTTCTTGCTGGAGCTAAATAAATGAAGTTCTTTAGGTCTACGTTGGTTAATATTTTTGCATTTTTTACACTCATTTGGATTCACAGAAAAATCTGAACAGAATTTATAGGGAAAAAAAGATGACGAATCAAAATTTATGGTTTCTAAGGTCACATGCGTGAATTAAATTTTTTTTCTCTTCTTTTAACAAACAACAGCCGTTTTTTAACCTATTGTTAGTATAGATTTATCTGTGTTTGCCTTTTAACTTTTTATTAATTGTGGTGGTCACAGACATGTTTATTTTTTTAGCAGTATACAAGTCATTTGTCTTTACTCCTTTCACACGCCTTTGTCTTTAATTTTTTTTTTAAAAAAAAAAGCAAAGTTCGGTAAGACATTTTAATAAATTATATTTTCATGAAAAATTCATAATACATCACACATTTGCAACAGCAGTATATAATTTACACAAAAAAATCCAATAAACACTAAAGACTTCATAATAAAAATATTGAAAATATGCATTAACACGGAAGAAACATATTACGATGTTTTTCTTATACTATCCAAGGATGCCACATCACCCAACAAACTTAGAAACGTAGTAGGAACTCAATTAATTAACATTCATTTTCTCAAATAAGAGTACATTTATGGATTACCACCACATTTGCAGATTAAAAAAAAATATCTTATGGAATATATGTTTAAATCTGAAACCCCCCCTTAACATTCATGTTTATATTTATACTGTGGTAAATAAACAGGGAATTTTCGCTGGTTTTCATCTCTTTTAATTGCTTTCTGCTTTTTTTAAAAACATTTTTAGCACATGTTCTATTATTGATGATGCTTTATCAAAGTCTATCTAAGAATTATAAAGTCTGTACACGACTAATAATCCATAATAACACTTTGAGCTGAATGCTGATTTGAAATGTTTGGATCAATATAGTAATAAGCCGCACTTTAATCGGAACATAACATATCCCACATATTCTACATTAGATTGTTTTTCACTATTATACTTTTCAAATGTCCTGAATCCACTCTAGATAACAGTACAATACAAAGACATCATTAAAAAGTTACTGACTTCATAAAGTAGATTAATCAATTTCTTTACATAAATATTTATGGGTAAAATGTAGCAAAAAAATTAATGAATGATTGTTATTAAATGATCGAAGCAACATATTTGACATATATTTATTGAAATAATCTAAAAAAGTATCGAGATTTTTTAGCACTATAGGGACGTATGGGAACGATTTTCAAAAATTGCCCAAAAAGCTTACTAATCATCATTTTGAACATATCTAGTATTTTTTTAACATTTGTCTTAATTTTGAATGATGAATAAGTTTATTTGGATCTATATGTGTTTTCATATTTCTTTAAAAAGTTGCTAGTAGAGAAAAAAATATTAGAAGGAAGCATTTTTGGTATATATCCCATCTAAGTAGGATTGGAGTTACTATAATAGGACAAATTAAGTTCTGACAAGTTACAGTTAAAAGTGGGTTGGTGGGTCCCAGCGGCAGTTGGTTGATCTGAATTCTACTCCTGGCTCGCACCGACCACAGTACTGATCTTCCTCAGTTGTAGGCAGATCAAGGGTTAGAATCCTCTTGTCGCCGGGCTAACTTAGGAAGGTTTTCAAAGCTTTCCCTCCCTTGTGACGCAAATAGGGGTTAGTTCCATAAGAAAGGTAGATTCCTTTGTCCCAATACTTTATTTAGGACTTCCCGTGCCGTCTGGGATGAATTTAAAAGTCCAAAGTCACTAAGTTAAACACTGATAGTATTAAACTCAGAATTGGGTCGGCTTCTCAACGCTGGTTATAAAAAATAAAATTAAACAACCAAAGTGAAATTGGGTCAAATGTTAAGCACCGATTTTAAAATAAAATAGCACACAGTCAAATACAATATAAACAGTCTTGTACAATCAAATGCAATATAAACAGTCTTGTACAATCAAATACAACATAAACAGTCTTGTACAGTTAAGTACAATGTAAATGTATATGCCAAAATGTCCTTTTAAGTAATTTGAGATGAGTCAACTAGATAATACTGCAGTTATTTTATTAAAAAAACAAAAAAAAAAAACAATGGCGTTTCTTTCGAATAGCATCTCCGTTGTGTAAGCATGAATAATATTTAGATGGTTCTTAAAAGATACCTTGCCTGCATTTAATTTCGTTCTCATCGAATATGTTTGTCAAGAAGTATGCTTGTTAAGTATGTTTGAAATTTATGATATTAATCACTGAAAGTTGTTTATAGTGATTTTCGGCGTCAGGATCTTATGAAATGTTCATGTTTCTGGATGCTTTAGAAGCAAAACAAATGCGTAGCCAAAACAATATTTAAAGATTTTTGGTTTAGTGCAGTGTTTCCCAAACTTATGACTTTTGTGTACATTTTCTAAATTTTTTGTAACGCTGTGTACCACTAATTAAAAAATGAATGTATTTTTTTCTGTTTAAAAATTGCACAAAAGTTAAAAATTACAACTGGCGGTTGACGCCACTAATTATTAACAGTTAACTCAGTAAAAAATAGCCAATAGAAAGATACGTAATCGTAAATTTTCATGGGTAGTTTTGTTTTTAAATGGCAGTTTTTGAAATTTTCATTTGATGTGAGATATTTCGCATCAGAACTCGTACCCCCACTAAATTGTTCCGGTACCCCTGGGGGTACGCGTACCACACTTTGGGAAACACTGGTTTAGTGTATCATCTCATTTCAAACAAGCATAATATTATTCATTAATCCTAATCAATTTAGATAACATTTCATGATTGCACATAAATTTTTGAATTAGAAAAACGCAGGAATTTATCCATCTATATTAACACCTTGACACAAACTCTACATCAGCATCAATCGTTAAATAGTTGTTAAATGTCGTACTAATTGCAGGTGATGCAATATTACTGATATTGCTAGTATTTTGTAATGAGAAACCCTAGGACATTGAATATTGCTGCATAGCTATCATTATGGAATTTGTAAACGATGGATAGAAGGCTGTTCATGAGTTCATAATGCGCAGAGAGGAAAATAATTACATTTTTTTGGAAATATGTCAGAAAATATTTGTTTCAACGAATGATTTTTTTTTAAAACCATCAATATAATTTTAATTACAATCATTTTAGGAAAAACTCTATGAATGCAGCGTTATTATTTAATTGAAAGGGGGCAAGGACTGCTCCATCCTCCGAATAGTTTGTCAAGTTCTGCAGCTGCAGCAATCGTTAGATGGTCTTTAAAAGGTCCACCGACTGCCTGTAATCCAATTGGTAAACCATCACTCAAGCCTGCAGGTATGTTAGTTACGGGAAATCCCAAGACATTAAATATGGCCGTGTAGCCAATATTATTGAATTTCGGGATTGTTAAATGACAGAAAGGCGGTGGCTCTGGATGCGTGGGGAGCAAAACAATTGAATCTTCTTGAAAAATGTCTAAAAACTTTTGCTTTAGTGAGGCAAATTGCTTTAAGCAATCATAACAAGCAATAAGACAAGATGTTGGGCGACTTGATGTTTGCATCAACAATGCTGGACTTAGTCACAATGCTCCTCTTCTTAGTGGAACGACGAGTGATTGGAAAAATATGCTAGATGTAAGNTTTCATTTGCAAAGATTAACTTGAAAGGCTCTAAATTCTTTTCGAGAACTTTACTCTGCCACAATTGGAAAGAATTTTGGAGCTCGTTGAGTGTCAGTGGAATGACTTTGGTGCCAAATCTTTCCTCGAAGAAATCAGCAGCCTGAAAAAAAGTTTGAAGATATGAAAAGCTTAAGAAATGAAATAATCTTTTTTAAACTTATATTTATTTAAATTTATTAGAAGGTTATCGACAATCTCCTGTTTTCTTTACTTTACTTTCGTGGTGATAAATATTGTCAGAAAATAAAAAAGATGTATTGTTTATCTAATGTAAAGTGGTGTTAGATTATTATACTTATTAATATAGTAAATTACGACACCACTTATATAGATAAATATACCACTTATAACAACTAACTTCTGTAGGTTACGGGATTGGTGTTACGAAATAACCTGAATGGTAGAGAAATCACCCCAATTACTTAAATCTCCCCAAGATTACAATTAGCTTAATTTACAATTATTTCAAAGTTTCTGAATCATTTTCAATAAATGAAAGAGAAAAAAATGATTTTGAAGTAATACTTTTTATTAAATTTAAATTTTATTTACACTGTTATTTTATTTTATTTTATACTTGCGTCACTGAACAGTCGTCCCAATTTTAAGTATACAGCTACCAATGTTCAACTTCGTAGTCCTATGATTTTGAACCCAATCCAGAAGACAAACTGCTGCATAAAGTATCGGGAGAAATTTTCCTTCGCAGAGGACTTATTGATGGAACTAGCCCACATTTGCGTTACATGAAGAGGAAAACTACGAAAACCTTCTTTGTTTAGTCTGATGGCAAAGGGGCTCAAACACTTGATCCGTTTACCACTGTGGATAGCTTACGTCAGCACTGTGGTAACAGCGAGCCTGGAGTGGAGTTCGTATCCACCAGCCATCGCCGAGTTTCGAATCCGGATTAACCGATTAACCTTTATCCCCTGAGCAGCCACGGTTCTAATTCTCCATACCTTTTCATTTTACATTTCATAACCGTCGTTGAACAGCCAACCCAAACTTGGGTATACGACTATAAATACTCAACTCCATAGCCTTGTAGTTTTGAACACACCATAGAAGACAAGGGAACTCCTGGATCAAGTATTGGGGGAAATTTGCCTTCGTGGAAGAGTTTTTGATGGAACTTATCCATTTTTGCAATACTTTGATTGAGAAAACCACGAAAATCTCCCACGGTTAGCTTGACGGCAAACGGAATCTAACCCATAATCCGTTTACTACTGAAGCTATTTTAAGTCAGCAATGTGGACGGTGCGAGCCAATTTCAGAATTCGTATTGACCAGCCATCGCTGGGATTAGAACCCAGTTCACCTCTTTTACTGCTTACCATTATGTAGTCCACTACTATAAATGTTCTTCCCGCTTTAAAGTATTTTACCTTTACTTAAGATTTCTAAAACTAAATTTCTTTCATAATACTGTTTGTTGATGAATTCGCATCTACCGGGCATCCAAACCTGGGCCACCTCATTGGGAGGTTGAGGTCATTGATCTAATGAGTTGCCATGGCTCCATTAACACTATTAACCCCTTAACGCACAGATTTTTTGAAAAAAAAAACCGGTCAAAAAAATAAATTTTCTTATGTACGAAAACACATTTTAGAACATTGCCTTTTCTTCTGGTGGACAATTTTGATATACTGCGCTGTTGTTCGCGCTGTATATACTGCGCTGTGCTATATTTAGAGATGCCAATTCCCCCGGATACGACAAAATAATTAAAAAAGCGGTAAATAACTGCGAAGTAAATTTTGCAAATATTTGACTATTTTTGCTTGCTTTTTAAAGGGTATAGCATGACATAAGTACAATCAAGTGGTGAATAATGTAAGACTATAGTGGTGGATAAAAATTTACTAAATTGAATTTATTAAATCAAGATTTACAAGATAAACTACCACTTTATGTTTGCTGTCCGGAGCAAGGTGGCATCTCTGTATATTTTATTCTTGAATAAATAAGTGTTAACAATCTTATGTAAATGATTAACATCAATAAAATATTTTTTTTCTTAGCTTTCATATTGTTATTTTCAATTCTCGATTATATTCGAGTGTGAAAAATTATAGCAGCTTAAAATACAGGGCAGCTCGAATTATCTCGAGTGTGCACAGTTTGGCCTGTTTAGCGCACTCGAATTTACTCGAGCATACGAGTTAAGGGGTTAAAAGAAATTATGGTAATTAAATAATGGGATTAGAAACTATTTATTAAATTAATTAAATTTTTGCTACTTTTCTTTAATTTTTATCACCTAAAATAAAGGAAGTGAATGGGCATTAGGAAGAGTGATATAGTGCTGAAGTTTGTGTCTCCGTTTCAAGTTTGAAGAACTTACTGAGCAATCCTGATACTTAGTAGAAATCAGTGCTTATAACGCAGTTTAAGTAATTGCAATTGCTAGACAATATTTTAAATTAAAAAATAAAATTAATATATTTAACTTCGTTTTAACTGCATACAATTAAATGCAGGAAAAACGTCAGTTATTAAATACTGATTTCTAAAGTACTATATCTGTCTTTTAAATTTTAGCAGAAACTCTAAGTGACCAATTCCTCATTATTTTTGAAAAATATTAATTAATTAATAGAATTTATTTTTTGCGTTGAATCATTTCTTGGAAAAACGAGTTTTATATTTGCGTAGCAAAAGAATGCTTAAAAAGTTGATATGTTTGGTAAAATACGCAAAAATCAGAATTAGCCTTAATTGAATGACATTGTATGTTTTTTTACTAGACTTGAGCGTTTTTATAGCATATGGGACAGTTAGAGAATATTATATAGGTGGCACCCTTTTTAAGAGAAACAGTAGGGGAGAGTGGGGTCAATTGTAACAGGGTACGATTGTAACAGAGCAAAAATTTCGAGTGTCCGGTTCTAGATTTGGTTCCTAGGTGGCGCACAAGGTGTATTTAATAAATCTACATGTACACCCCTGATGGCAACCATTTTTATGTACTTTTGAAAGAGTTACATCACAAAAGATATTTTCACGCCACGCAAGTACTTTTTTTGGTATTAGAATATTATATTGTAACAAAGTAATTTTGTTTAAACAAATAAAAATTAGTAACCGAATATGTAAGTGGACACCTTAATTAACATTTCAAAAAAAAAAAGATTAGTTTTGCTAATTAACTAGCATTGTTTTTAACAAATGAAGCTGAAATGGCGTCTTGGGGACAATTGTAACAATAAGTAAAGGGACGATTGTAACAGCTGAAAATAAATAATCTTATGTTTACAAACCATTACTTAACTCTTTAAGAACCACCAATAGTTTCCTATATCATTTATATTATGTTGCATGTGCATTATTTTATTTGTCACCTTTCACAGCATAAATTAAAATTTTTAACCCCTTAAAGTTAAAAGTTTAACCCTTTAGGTCTCTGCTCATTATTATTTTTACTCCTAAAATATCACTACTATTTTGATCAATAAAAAAATATATCACAACTATGATAATATGTATAATTAACTATGTTTTAGTTGAATTTATGAACTGTTACAATTGACCCCGTAAGTGGGGACAATTGTAACAAGTGCACGACTGTCAAAAATTGTTAATAACTAATATAATAATATTTAAAATCAGGTATTTATTTTTTTTCTAGTAAAGGATAGTCTACTTTACTCGTTTGTCAATTAATACTAATAATATATTGGATTTTTTGTTAGTTAAAAATAGTTAAGTAAAAAATGTTACAATTGACCCCACTCTCTCCTACTCACTCTTCTTACTGCTTCCTTGATTGACGGTGTAGGAGAAAAAGCTAGTCCTGGAAACTCTTCTATGTAGTATACTTTTACTTTCGAAAAATCCACCTGAAATGAAATATGAGAATTATTTACTGATCAGTTCTTTGACTAAGATCTTTTTTTATAATTTTTGAAAAAAGTTAAGCCAGAATTGTTTTGAAACGTAAAAGATATAAGTCAAAAAATGTACCTTTTATACATAGTAACATCATGAAATTTTAAACTATTAGTCCTGTGAAATTGGTTTTGGTCGCATTCGAATTTGCAAACAAAACAGATAGGAAACAATACTTTACTTGCCTGCAGAGAAGAGTTTAAGTTTTTCTTTCCTTCTGAAATCCTCATTTTCCATACATTTACGATAGCTGCAAAATATTACAACGTAGAACAGGGTAAAATTCTTACTTTCACAAAAGCCAGAAACCACAACTTTCAAAACCAATACCCATTTTCATTCAATTATTTTTCATCTATCGACTCTATCTGACAAATTGGGCTGTCTATGGACTGAGAAGAAATCTACATTTTATTCTAGAAAAACAAAGTTCTTAATTTGCAAAATTATTGCCAGGCCAGTCTTGACATATGCTTCTGAATATTGGACAATGACAATACTTGAAGAAAATTGTATCACAATATTTGTGACAAAAATTTTGCTGAGTATACTTGGTGGTGTGAATGAAAACAATAACTAGAGAAGGAGATTCAACATTGTGCAAGATTTATAAACAACCAGATATCATTTAATACATAAAAATATATAGAATGAATTGGATGACCCACGTAATTCGAATGTGTGATGACAATACCATAAAAAAACGTTGCTTTTTAGACCCACTTTAATAAGAAAACGGGGAAGGTTGAGATGTGCGGAATCGGTGGAGTCTGATTTTCTTGCAATTAATGAAAAGAATTGGAGATCAAGGATAAATCGGAAGTCGTTATAGAGAAATCTTCGGAGGAAGGCATTGGCCCAACTATGATGATGATTTTTCGTTTCCTACTCTATAAAAACTGGCTTAATTATAAAGAAAGAGAAAAAGAAATTTCATTTCTAGCTATAAAGCATACCTCTTTATTCAGCTGTAACCGTTTATCATCATTCGAGAGTATTTTTAAAAGAAGAGGTAAGTCCTTTGCATATCGACACATTGGGCCTGTGCTAGTGAATTCATCAAGTTTTTCATTTTCGCCTTCAATGTAAGGAAAATCCCCTTTATTAGAGACGATCCCTGTTCAGAAACGATTTAATAGAAAAATGATTAGATATTGCTCAAAATAATACTATAGTAACTTTATCGAATAACAGTTGTATTAACGAAAAATGTGTTTTATTTCTAATACTTACCAGTAGAAGGTTTATGCCCATAGATTCCAGTAAATGATGATGGGATGCGTATACTTCCACCCAGATCGTTGCCTATACCTATAACTGATCCTGCTGTAGTTAAGAGGGCTGCTTCTCCTCCTGAAGCATCATTAAAAATGAATTAGGGATAATCCCAAATGCAGAATATGGGCTTATAAAGTGATAAGCATAACTAAGTACTGTTCCTAAGTATTGTTTTCAGTACTTTACTAGTTTTTTAAATTTGTGTAAGAGGACAGCATGATATAAAGAAACAAACTCATTGCTTACATAAAAATAGTGAATTTATATTTTAAACAAAAAAGATCACATAAACAATTAGAAAATGTGACTTATTATTGTGCCACAAGTTATACGAACCTTTCATGTTTTTTTTTTCATTAAATGATGAAAATTTTATTTATTGTACACCCCATTAGAGTAATTACCCGGCAATCTGCCGTTATCTTAAAATGCATTTTTTGCTTCAAAGTATTTTTAAGGGTTGAAATTTTTTAAAAATATCCAACTGACTTTTCTCAATTGGACATAATTTTTTTTCTTTTACAAAAAGGCTCAATTACAATTTTAATTTTGTGTGGTAAACAGAGGCTCTAAAATTAAAATTTTATAAAATATTTTTCAAAAAAGGGAGATTTGATCTTAAAAACTATAATTTTTGATCTTAAGATAATGATTGATTAAAAGATTTGATCTTAAAAACTATAACAGCTTAACAACAAATTGTAATGTATAAATTTCAAAATAATTTTTTTACGATCACTTATGTGATTTCTTGCATTTTAAACTAAAATCTTGAAAAAAATTTCAAAAAACAATAAATTAGAACTAAATACAATGTTTAATATCGTATTTTTAAATAAAATTTCTAAATGTTCCTCCTTAAAGCTTGATAAAAATAATATATTCACATTTAGACCTCAGCGTTCTGAAGGCATTTCTAACGTTATGCAAAGTCTAGATACAAAATTTCAAATAATTCCATTATAAACTGTTTTTGCAATGTGTATTAGAGTGAAGAATTTTTTTAAAATCAGCGTTCTTCATAAAATGCATTTAAAATGCAAGGAAATTTTAAAATGTAAAAAAATACTGAGCACCAAAAAAAGTTGAAATTTTAAAATTGATTTCTGAAAATGAATTTTCTTTGTCGTAAGAATATAATTTATTCAAATTAAAAAAAAAAAGGTTATAATACTCGAACTCAACAAAAAACATTTTTGGTTCGTTTTCCGAAGTTTATTTCTGGTTTTGATTTTGTCTGAAAGCGTAAGAAAAAACTGCCATTTCTTTTTCTAAAAACTGGTGATAAAATTTTTTAATGGTTCTGGAAAACTATTAAACTAAGTTCAAATGTAGATGATAAAAAAATAAATAAATAAAATTTTCATCAAAATTGCCGCGGTTTCACATAGTCATATACCTTAACTTTGAAAATGCGATCAAACCAATAACTTTTCCAATGTACTGTTGTACAGTTTTACTATCGTTAAATGTACGTTGAAATTTGAGATAAACTTATTTCAGGGGTAATAGTGACACAAAGTAAAAATTCCTGAAAATTTTATGCGACGAAAATCGATAAAGATATCAATTAATGTACCATACATGTTTCATATTTAACATAATTTTTTGAAATAAGATTTATTATTAAATTACCTACCAATAAGGAATATCACATCTTTATATTAACGAGAATTCATGAAAAATCTTAGTTTTTACAAGAATTGATTTTGGATTTAAAAATCGCGGGAATATGAATCACGAAAATGTATTTTAAAAACACGTAAATAGAAATCGCAATGTTGGAATTTCAAATGGCGTGATTACGAATCGCGATGTGCGATTTTTAAATCCAGTTAATACGAATCGCAGTGTGTAACTTTTAAATCAGACAAATACAAAAACAGATACTTGATATTAAAATTACGTGGATAAGAATCGCGATAGTAGCGGATTCCAGCGTGGTTCCAAATATTCAAAATGGCAAAAATCCGCGTCACCAAAAGAATTTAATAGGCAGAGGAATCTGATGGTTATGAAATAAGCGGAACTCCCAGAAAAATCACATACCTCGCTCCCAATTTTCTGACCCAGAAATATCATATGAAAAACCCGAAATACCTGGGTATAGTACACCAAGAACACAATCATCCCAGTTATTTCAAAATATGCATTCTTGAAAAAAATAAAAATATTTATGAAATAAATTAATTGATGCTATAAATTTGGTATTCAAATGTCTACTCAACATTATGCATTGTGCTTGTGTACTTATTATAAACAATATTCAAATTAAACTGGATAATTGTATTAGAGAATTCCATTACCCGTGCTGCCTCCAACTGCTCTTGAGTTGTCAAATGGATTTTTAGTTATTCCGAAAATCAGATTTGAAGTGTCCCACCACATGCACATCTCAGGCACATTTGTTACTGTAACAGGTATAGCTCCAGCAGCTCTGTAATTGGCAGTTGCATCAGAATCTTTGTCGGCAACTCTTCCTTTAGCTGCATAAATTCCAGATGTCTGCGCCAAACCTAGTTTTAGAACGAAACAAAGCACGTGATGCGTTTTATCTCTAGAGATAGGAAAGCATTTTCAATAATCCTTAATACCTACTGTCCGCGGGGCAAGATTACTTTAGTATACAGGGTGTCCCAGGGTTTTTGAACTAACTTTAAAAGGAGACAGGGGACATGACAAGGATTCAGGTTTGCATTGTAACTCATGGTCCTAAACATCTTCGTTCGACGCTAAATGATGTTGTCCACAAGATGGATTGGGCTTGGTAGACCACACCAGTGGCGTACGCAAGGGAGGGGTTTAGGGGTTTGAACACCCTCCTTGAGCTAAGACAAAATGGCAAAAATAAAAATGTTAGTAGAAATTATGCGGGTATTATTTTTTAAGACTGTATATTTTTATTTGCCTTATGCCTACCTTTTTTTCTCACGGTATTTCTCAGAATACTGAAAAAAAACATTTACTATAATTGGGTTGTACTTTTGAAACCAAATTCACGTGATACTGTTATGGACTGGTTTCTTTCTGTTCTGCCAGTCGTGATAGTTTTCGAGACTGGCTGTCATTCGCGAGATATTTACGCGATGATTCTGGAATCTTAGACGTTCTGTCGTCTTTGAGACAATTCGAGAATTTTGGAGATACGGTGAAAAATTATGTAAAAGGGGGAACGGAGTACAATTTAAATTTTTCCGTTGTACAGAAAATTGATACTTCCGTTGAAGAAAACGTTTCTAGCATTACAAAATCTGATGAATGTGAAACAAAGTGTTACTTCCCACCCATATGACATTGGACTTTTTCAGAAGATATTACATGCCAGAAGATATTACATAATGTTCTTAAACTTAAAAAATCAAATCAAAATTTAACTAAACAATGTTGTCTAAATGAAAAGTCAAAACTGTCTAAATTAGGGAAATAATAGTTCTTTATTACATACTCGAATTTCTTTTAGTAGCTTCAGAAAATTATGAACACCCCCTTGAAACAATTCTGCATACGCCACTGGACCACACTCTTCTGATTTTAATTGCATGAATTTATTTCTTTGAAGTGCTGTGTACTCAACACCTGTGGATTACGAAATGGATCTGTTTGAAAGAATCGTTTGTACTGCTGCAGACATCCAACGACTAGTCCGCCAATCCATGACCCGACGGTGTAAAGCATGCATCTCTAGCAATGGTAGAAATTTCAACATCTTTCATGACATTTTCACGTATCATCTACTAGAACACATGTGATATCTTTGACCAATAAATATTTCAGATGATCTCAGTCTTGCGTCTTTTCGTTTCTTGTACCTGTCATACTATTTTCACAAGACGTTTCGGACAATGCGTTGCTATGCAATTTTGAATCCTTGTCATTCCCTTCACCTTCCCTTAAGGTTTGTTCCAATAATGCAGGGACACACTGAATAATGCAATTAGATATGCAATAAGGTAGGTAAATTTTAAGGGTAAATATTTAATATCTTTTATGACATTACTAGCAATCTTTTTAGCATTTTTATTAATCTGCTTTCATGTGAGCGACAATGGAATATTGAAATGGTAATTTCGACCCCTATCGACTATATAGAAAGCTCAAGTTTCAATTGTAGCTCGGTTCCCGATGAGAATAAGGGTTTGAATCGTTTTCTGTTCTCTAAAGGCATAATTTATTGACAAATTATGACCAGAAGGTATTTAACTAAATCGATAAATAAATGTATGGTCAATCCAAATCCATATAATTTTCCTACGTGTATCAACAAATTGATTTCATCATTAATTAATCTTTTTCTGTGCAGTAAAGGAGCTCCAATTTCATCTGGAGCTCTGTGCCTAATGCCATGCAAGTCGAAATTGTTTTCTAAATAGCGCCAGCAAATATTTTCACTCTTTTATCGCGAGTTAAAATTTCGATGACTTTTCATTTAAAAATTAACCTACAGATAAGGAAAGGAATGAAATTAAATTAATCTAAAATCTACGGCTTTCAATCGGTTTAAAAAAGATAAAACTAATCATCCTTTTATTGGAATGAAAATGAAAAACGCAATATTCATACTTTCGATAATAAACCTCTACCATCACTAACCCCTCTCCCCCTGTCATTCGAAAGTGATGATGTCTGCGTTTTTTTTTTTGACCGGTCGAAGACAAAACTCTTTTCTCTTTTTTTTTTCTCTTTTCAAAATTTCTTATTGCAATTTTTCTTTCTATGTCCATATAAATGGATATCCCAAGTATCATCAACATCTGCCGAATCCATTTTAATTGAAAAAGGGTAACTTAAAACTAAAATACCTTTGACTCCTATGGCTTCCTTGCAAGAAAAAGGAACACCTAAAAGTGGCGTGTCTTTTTCAATTTCTTCTGGCGTTTTATCTCCTCTAGCTAAAAAGCGATCAACCAATCTTGACTCTTCTAAAGCATCTTCATACTGAGCATCAGTAACGGCGTTAATGTAAGGCTTCACTTTACGGCATCTATCTACGTATGCACGCATGACATCCTCACATTTGACCTATAGAGACAAGTATTAGCAACAGGAGAAAAGAAAACAAGGAAATGTACGGAATTTCTCTATTTACCACAGGAGCATAAAGAAAATCGAAAACACTTGGGACCACAATGTGTTTTTCTCATTTTTTTAAAAATTTTTTTATTTATAAATTTTTTTTTTATCGTATAGGAGTTTTCGAACCATATTCACTGAGCTCACAAACCTCAGCGATTACCTCCCATCCATCATTGTTTTTTCCCCTTAAAAATCGATTAAAAAGTCTTTTTGTTTATAATGTATACAATACCGGGGAATAAAGTTTTTTGCGTTAAAAGAAATCTCTTACAATATAAAAAAATTTCCCCCGTGAAAATATCACTTTATACAGGGTGTCCCAAAACGACCGCATAAACTCTGCAAAGCTAGATTCCTCGTTGGGAGTACATAAAAACTGCCCAAAGAAGCGTTATTGTACGATCCATAGTTTACGAGAAAAATAAGAAAAACAAAGTATGACGTCACTGCCTGTGCAAAAAAAACACTTTATTGGACATCCTGCCTCGTCCTCAAGCCTGCCTCGACACGCACGGTGGACACTTTGAACATCTGCTTTAAATTGTGCATAGTATACTGCTCTTGATATGTTCAATAAAGTGTTTTTTCTTGCACCGGCGGTGACGTCATACTTTGTTTTCCGTATTTTTCTCGTAAACTATGGATCGTACAATAACGCTTCTTTGGGCAGTTTTTATGTACTCCCAACGAGGAATCTAGCTTTGCAGAGTTTATGCAGTCGTTTTGGGACACCCTGTATAAGTATATTTTGCTAATATGTTAATCACGATGAAATGAAAGAGTGCCTGGATTAAAAAAAAATGTCAACAGTACCTGAAAAAAATTTAATCTAAGGATTGCAGAATGTGCTACACAATAAAAAGTAACGAATAAAACGAATTTTTACTTGTCAGCAAAATAATTAAAATACCCTTATATCGGCCGACCGGACTGTGTAGGGGTCAGGGAAATGGCCTTTCTTCGTAAAGATTCTGGGTTCGAATCCCGAGCAAGGCATGGATGTTCTTTCATTCTCTCTGTATTATCTGCTCTTACTATGGAAGCAATGCTGGTCCACCTAATATGGTGCCTCTGGAAGAGTGCCCAGCAAATCTGCCCTGTAAATACGTGAATTGGCGAAATGTTTACACAGGTGGACATTGGAAATTTAAAAAAAAGGAAAGAAAGAAAACCATATATCAAGTACTCGTTAGAAATTTTAAAAGATATTTTTCCTTCATGAGCTTTTTATAAAGTTAAATTTTTTTAGCAATATAGGAGACTTATATCTGGCAAGATTTATATCTCTCAACATCTTATCTTTTACTGTCTTATTTTTATTATATTTATTCATTTCATATTATATTTATTCATTTTTATTACTTTTGACATCAAGTCAAGAACAAGCTTATAAAATGAAGAACGCGAGGGAGTTCAATTTTTCTACAACAATGGATAAATAGTTATTAAGTAAAAAAAAACTTGATAAAAAGCAATTAAAATTGCATTAACTTTAAAATGAATTAGAATGTCAAAAACAAACTGTCATTAAATTCCTAAAAAAAAAAATACAGCCTTTTCATCACGTCAGAGTTGTAATCGCATCACGGACTTCAGAACGGTTTACATGGTATTTTTTTTAACTTCAAATTGAACAGTTCATATTTTACATACTAATTATTACATGTTACTTTTTTAAATCTAGTACTTCAGGTTCATGATTCATTGCTATTTCGTGAGAAGCCGAAAGAGCAGTATTATGGTAGCCGTACTTTTTCAGTGCTGATTGAAGTTCACGGTCGTGGTCACTAGCGTGTTGGTATTAGCAGTTGCGTGTATGCAGGCTGGAGTTTTGTGTTTGAGACTGAGTAGCAACAGAGCGAGGAGGCAGACAACGTCGCAGTCACAAGTAGCTAGTCAACTGTTCAATGTGGACCACCCATCGAAATAGGCTTATTCAAATCTAAGTGGGCGTTTTTGATAACGAAGGTATGGTCAGATCTCGTCCGGGTCATGAATGTGGGGAGAGTCACATCGACAATTTCAACATTTATCTATGAAAAGGCATCCCCAACATGAAAACGAGTTAACATGTCTAATGTACTAGTGAATTGAAATTGTAATTTTGTAGTGGTAGACGCACTACGAGTTGAACACCCAAATCAGCGGTGGTCCTTTGATATTCTAATGTTGAGAGATTAAGTCCCATATTCGGGAACCTTGCCAATTGAGGTTAGCATTAGCACATTCTTAGACTAATCTTAAATACGTATTCAGAAACCATGTTAAAATTTAAAAAAGGAACAATCATGTTTAAAAAGTGGCAACATCGATGAGAAAAATATTTAGCATGGTTGGAGAGATGATTTCATATAACGCAGTGAAAAATGGATTATTTCAAACTTAACAGCTTTTTAAACCTTGAAACTAAATTTTAGTTTTGGGTTTCATTCAAATATTAAAAAAAAACTTAAATCTGATTATTTTACAGTTACTTATCTCGAAATCGTACCCTTGCAGTATTTAAAGTTCTAAGTATCATTTAAATACTATAAAAAAACACTCTAGTTGTTCTCTAAATATTCATAAATGATAAAAAATGCATTTAAATTATAGTTTTCTACCAAAAATTTCGATATTGTTTTAGTTCCTTGCTAGCACATGCCAAAAATATTGCCTAGGTAAATAGAATCCAGTATATGCAAAATATTATGTGAGCAAAGCCCCTCCTGGACTAATTCTGAAATAGGAAATCGTTTAAAATTTGATAATTGTATAGAAGTTTGATTTGATTCATTGTCTCCTTAGTGTCTGAGGCATTTTGTCTCTGCAATCTGATTTTTATATATGGTATTTTGTTTCTCAAGATTTTGTCGGTCGATAATTATTCCATGTATACCAAAACTTGCATTGTTCAACGTATAAACAATTAGGAAATAAAAAAGAATAAAATCCTAAGTTGTTTAAAACCTATATAATAGATTACTTCATTAGCTGAATATGTTTTAAACACAGAAAAAGGAATAATAATATATTAACCTGACTCTAAAAAGTGCATGAAACAAAATATGGTATTATTTTTTGCTAAGTAAAATTATATAAGAGGAATTCTAAATTAAGAACGAAAACGAAAAATGAAAAAGATAAAATAACCAGATCCACCAAAGGTTAAGGACATACAGACACCTAAAAAAAATTAATTATATAACGAATGCCTGTTTTAACTACTTTTTCATTCAAGGTTGAGTTAAAAATAAATATATTATCCTTAAATAGAAAACTAAAGAAATAAAACGAAAATTCCGAATGTAAGTTAAAATGTTTGTCATTTGATTTGAAGTTTCTCTTCTTCGTAATCAGTATTAAAGAAACAAGGTTTGTTAATTTAATATTTCCTTTTTATAAAAATATTAAAATTAATTTTATTAGGACAGTGGTTTTCTACATGGGGGAAAAATTCGAAGATAATGTGAACAAATTTTTGTTTAGATCTTAATTTTAGATTATAATTTAAATATACTTTAAAAAATATCTAAAGTACATTTAAAGTGTAACTTTAAAGTACTTTAAACATATTTTAGATGATAATTTTAGATTAATTAAAAAAAATTAGATTTTACTATTTGAAAATTTGAAGTGAAAAAAGTAAATAACAGCGGGAAAGAAATTGTTGTATATTTGCAAGTATTTTATCGAAACTAATTCAGGTGTGGTTATTTCAAATTTGAAATTAGGTATTTTCAGATAACTTTATTTTTTGGTTGAATGTAATAGTTTATAGGGAATTTATAGGCTTACATACATACATATACACTTGCCATGTCGTTTGAAAAAAAATTAAAAAAAAATGACGAAAAACAGTAAACATAAGATCTTAACTTAACGTATTATAAACTAAAATGTATTATCGCCTCCTTCCTGCCACACTCTGCAAACTAGAGAAGTGGGGACACTTAATAGTCACTTAATAGTCACAGAGTAAATTTTAGAAAATCGTAGTTCGGACTAGATTATTAAATTACGCAAGAATTGTAGCTTGTTTAGAAAAATCGATTGTAGATTCGAAATCAGCCATGTGAAAGTATCTAAAATCTGTTAAAAAATCAAATGAACGAAAAAAATATTGTTTCCTAGTGTAGTGCCCCTTAACGATCGGTTAATTTTCAAGAAACCGGTCATGAAAGTGCGTATTTTCTTATACACATAATTTTTACACGTATTTGATTAGTGCTGACATCCAGTTTCAAATAAACTAACTATCTACAATTACCTTAAATATTCTGTTACTGCCATCTGGTGTTTAAAATGAGGAATAAAATGTTTTCCGGGCAAATGAAATGAATTAGTTTTATTCTTTCTGGCGCGTTGCTGCTGAACACTCCAGCCCGGGAATATCACGGAAGCGAGAAATAGAGGGCGAAACCTCATCCCGCCATTTTCACGGGAGCGAAAAAGAAGGTGTTTGAATCAACACTGATCAACAATACAAATGTTGTAAAAAACTGAAAGACATATACCGGCAAAATTAATAAACTAAAATGATACCACAGTCATATCAGCTATCCAAAATTGTCCGATTCTTTTTAAAAACTTTCTATCTATAATTTTCATTGAAGTCAATTTCTTAGTCTAAAAATTTCCTGACCAAATTTTTCGGCGATGATAATTTTTTTCTCTTTCGAAATTAGATTATTAAATCGTTTAGTTAACTATATTAAAACCACTTTTAAAGCTAACAATTGAGCAGAATATATGCGACAAAATATTTTAAATTAAATGAAATCACTCCAGCTAGATAAAATTTAACAACTAAAAAATATTGCAATTTTTATATTACTAAATTGGCAACACTTAATTTATTTAGTAAATCTATATAGCAATTGCTGATTTTTAAAAGTATAGAAAAAAAGGCTTATTTAAAAAAAGAAAAAAAAAATACAGATTTTTAATAATTTAACAATTTATAGAAAATAAAATTTTCTTTTTTTATTTTCTCTTTCCGTATTTTCTTATCTTTTTTTCTTTAAAAAAAAAGAAAAAAAACATTTTTTAAATAAAGTATGTATAATGGCAACATTAATTGAGTAACGCCACAACGATTTTAATCTTGCGAAAATAGATGATGTGATGTTTTTATCGATGTGCGATGTTTTCATCGAACTCTGGCTAGGTACTCTCTAGTTTAGGTACTATAGACTACTAGTTAGATGATTTTATAGTTTTCTACTGTTATTTTTAATTGAACTAATGAAGTTCTTAGTAATCGTTTGATTATTTGTTTTACAAAGGAATGCTTAGTTTTTAGTTCTTTAAGAAAGTCATCTTTTTTTGACGGCAAAGGAACATTTTGCAAAGTAAATTGCGATTTATCTTAAATATTTTAATTTCTCATTATTTTTATACTTATTTCAGTACTGAACATAAGGCGTATTAACATGAATTTCCAGCACGATTAATTATCTTAAATTAACGGAAGAACAAACACGAAAAAGCGTTATTAATGTAATTTTTCCTTCTTCTTTTCTATGTTCATAGTAAAATTTATTATATGGTTGAATAGAAATAGATAGAAGTATTTAAAAATATGTAAGAAACACGCTGTGTTGTTACTAATGCCACTTGCCAGCATCAGCAAGCCTGGGCAGAGGGTGGCTTTCATGTTTTTCATTGGCGCCATCTATGGCCAACAGTACGACTTTAGCCACGCACACGTTACAGCCCGTTTATAGGGCGGACCCATTCATTCATCCACAACTTGAACCAGAGAACGATCAATCTCCAATATTTTTACAAAGTAACTTTTCTCTGCACCTTGATTTGACATTTACTTTAATGATGTTATGAGTTATAAACTGCATTGTCTTGTTTTATTTTTAAAAAAATTAAGTAATCTTGTTAAAAAAAAATAGGATTTTGAACTTGTGTGGCATCCTGTTAGGGTCATTGTTTTTAACTTTTGTATGAATTCTGGTTCATCACGCTTGTGCATGGTTTGGAAAATGAATTTACTTACTTAGGTAATACACTTATTCTTTTAACTGTTCTTGGAGGTTCACCCAATACTATGAATTAACAGTTAAGAGTGCAGTTTCTCCTCATGGACAAAAAAATTAGCGCACCAAGAAGGAGTCGTCAAAATGAAACGAAATTTTACATACTTAATGACTACTTTGATATAAGTAAATGATTAGAAAATCAAAGAAAAACAATAATCTTTGATTTTTTAATCATTTACTTACATCCAAGTAGTCATTACGTATGTAAAATTTCGTTTCATTTTGACGACTCCTTTTTGGTGTGCTAATTTTTTTGTCCATGAGTGTATTTATTCTTAAAATTCATTTTTTAGTGTTAATTACATAAGTTTAGAAAATATTAGTTCTTTCATGTTATTAATGGCAGCTGTATGATTAAAAAGAGTTAAAGGTGTTATCGTTGACTGGTTTACATCGGATTGCAGGTTTATATTTTAAGCAATTGACTCACCTTTTCACTTATTTGCTAATTTAAATAAAATAATTATTTTCATCTTTAAGAGAACTTTTTTTTGAAAAAAACATGAATTACCTGTTTAGAGCGAATTTTCTCAGCCAATTCTGTTGCAGACAATAAAAGCAATTTATTTTCAATTGGTGGTACGGGTTTTGTTTTTCCCCAGAAGATTCGGTAAAGGAATGATATTACATAGTCCGAATATGGTTGAGTGAAATATAATAAAATTCTAATAAACCCCATAGTTGATGCTAGCACCTAAAAAAATAAATTATAGAAACAATTACATTAAAACAACATTTTAAATTATGCATGATTTAAAATGTTCTTAGACACAGAAACTTACAGCGTTAGAACATAGCTGCATAATTTTTTAGAAATTCAATAAATAAATAAATAAAATGAATAAGTAAGTAAAATACTTTTGCTAATTCAAATGAGAAAAAAAAGATAGTCGAGCTATCGTTGTACAGTTATTGTACTCGACGAGATATTTCACGCATGAGAAGAACGCAATAATAACGTCAGAAAAGCGAGATCTAGTTTGAATTTTTCTTGCATGTGCAGTCATACTTAATATTTTGCTTTATTTCAATTCATTCACAATTTATTTTACTAATGAAAGTAGGACAAAAGCTTTGCATATAAATCTGAATCAAAGTGCATTGCGTCTCTGTGCAAGCTAGATTCTTGAAAATCTACATTCCCCGCTTGCGAAGAAGACAAATAAGCCGATACGTTTAAATTGACTTCTTCTGTGAACCCAAAGGGTAAAAAATTCCTTTAATCAAATATTTGGGTTCACTCGTCTTAATGAAGATGACGAATAAATTAACTAATCTACATTAATGAGTAAAACTAATCGGCATTAATGATACCATGAAAATACACTGCAGACCACCGTAAATGCAACACCCTGAAAGAAGCATGCAATTAACATGACATTTACAACATGCATTAACAGAGGGGAAATTATTAGAATTTCAGCCTAGATGCATATTACGCGCGCCTGTGGCGCCACTTCAAAGCGTTATTTAAGGCTTGGAGATTTCGACGATTTCAAGTTCGGCAATTGTGTTTTTCTTGTAGTTTTTTCAAAAAACGATCAATTATGCCTCGCAGAAAACAGCGATCATCTTTTGATCAAGTATCCGAGTTCGACAGAGGAAGGATAGTGGCCTACCGAGATTGTGGATTATCTTTCAGAGAAATCAGTAATCGTGTTGGACGAAACTAAACAACTGTAATTCCGATATGTGATCGTTGGATGCAGGAGGGTACGACGAACCGACGTGTTCGATTGCATCCACCTCAGTGCAACACTTCACGTGATGACAGACGAATTGAGCGCATGGCAGTGACTGATCGCTAAGTCACATCACAAACCATAGCACAGAACATTCAGTCTGTAACGTATCATCCAGTGTCTGCACCTACCATTCGACGCCGTTTACAGCAGAGTGGTCTCTCAGCAAGACGCCTATTGCTTCGTCTACTCTTCACGCAGAACCATAGACGTCTCCACCGCCAATGGTACGATGAAAGAAGGACGTGGATGATAGAATGAAATGAAATTGTCTTTACTGACGAGTCACGCTTCTGTCTGCAACACCACGATGGTCGCAGGTATTATGGTATGGGGCGGTATTGGGTATCACTCTCGCACTCCTCTAGTACGCATTGCCGGTACTTTAAACAGCCAGCGCTACATCTCCGAGGTGCTGGAGCCAGTTGTACTTCCTTATTTTCAGAGCTTGCCCACAGCCATATTTCAACAGGATTTCGCGTCCACACGTGTCACGCATTGTCCAAGGGTTCTTCGTCAATCGCCAGATTGAATTGCTTCCCTTGCCAACTCGCTCTCCGGATCTTTCTCCGACAGAAAACATGTGGTCCAGGATTACTCAACGATTGACCCAGATTACATCCCTAGCTGTCACACCAGATCAACTTTGGTAACGTGTGGAACCTGCTTGGTTTGCTGTACCCCAAGAACACATCCAAAGTCTCTTTGAATCAATGCAGAGGCGTGGGGCATTGGTGATCTCCAACAATGGCGGCTACTCTGGCTACTGATTTTGGCAGGAACCACACTTCACAGAAGTCTATAAATTTAATCATTTGATACTCGACATTTTACGAAAGAAAAATTTTTCCTTTTGTAATAATACTTGTAATTATCTGAAGTAGTTCCAGAAAAAAGACATTAGCAATAGCGAAACCGTAGATAGAAAAAAAAAGAGTCTATTATGAAATAAAGGTGATATGTTTGTATGCAATGGCCTAAAGGATTAAGTATCAGATAATAAATTGACAATATAATCCAATTCTTCAAGTCAAACAAAAACCATAACAAAATAGAGATGATTGAAATATGTATAATTAAGAAAAGAAATAAACATGACACATTTCTTTTTACTTGCAATATTCCCTTCGTTTAAGCAAATAAACATAGAAACATAAATTAAAATCATTATCTTTTCAAATCTTTTGCCTTATCTGCAAATTCAACACGCAATGTTTACACCCTTGCTACGACAATAAATGCTCATAACAAGTGTGAGTTGTTAGCGTCAATTTATT